ATTGATCATTCGGCACAAGCAATTTGTAATAATGATAAATCATTTAGTTAAGTTATATCATATATTATATCACAATAAAGAAAAATTTGGGGCAAATTTATAAGAATAATAAAAAACTAAAAATAAAAATTTCTCCCAATTGTTACACGATCCGTTACTTAATATTAATAATTTTGGGGCGGTAGTGGCTGAAGCTAACCAATCGTGAACAAAGCCCCTAAGCTGTCAACGAAACTCCTAAACCGTTGACGAAACTTATGATGTTGGGAAAGGAAAGTAGTAATAATCCATATGGGTTTGAAACCTTATTTTATTAATTTATTTAGCTAATATTTTCGGATTTCACGGTTTAGGAGTTTCGTCAATTACTATATTTATGCAATTTTTTAACTCCGCCATTGGTCTAGGAGCCCAAATTCCTAATTTCTGTGGGCGAAACTATTTCTGATTTTCTAAATAATTTCAGCCACCCATCATTAGTTTATTGCATAAATTTTCAATACTCGCCTATTTTTTTTTAAATGATGTTAAATTTTGTTACGAAGCCAACTCATAGAATAAAAGTATAAACACATAATACAATTATTAACAGAAAGAATCTATCTAGTAAAATAGTTATTGTTATTATCCTAAAGATGAATATCATGAGTAACTACACTACAATATAATGATGAAATTCAAGCTTCTGGACTGATAACAAGGTTTTAAAATAATCATATGTAAGCAATGCTAAGCATTATGAACTAGGCAAAATTGGCCATTATGAACCCGGATTCCCATATTTTTGTTCAATGTAACGAGAAGTTTTTTAATTTGAATACAATAACAGATAAAAACATATTATTGTTATAAGGATAAACGGATGAAGATTCTTCCATTCGCATCCGTGTCTTATGTGATTGATATGAGTAAAACCCGTGTAATGAAATACACTAATACTAATTTCAGCAAAAGATTTTTTATTTGAAAAAGGATTTCTAATTTAATCGCGATGTATATATATATTTTAAGTTGCAATTGAGGCCGCAATTTAAGCCTGATTTTTTTTTTATAATGTTCTATTTATATAAAAATAATCCAATATTTCGATTTCTTTGATTGCAATCTCGTTAATGAAATTTAGGCCTAAAAGGGAGTATTAAATGACTTGGCTAGCATTTATTAAACTTTTTTTGGTTGAAATTCGACCGCACAATTGACAATTTCACACGTTAATTTCGTCAACGCAAAGCTTTTGCATTTTCATCTTTTCTGAAAAAATCCATATATATATAAATAAATACGTGCATAGGATATGCAAAAAAAAAAAAAAAAAAGAGTTTTTTACAACTAAAAAAAGTTACTTTTTTGATAAAGAAATTTTAATTAATATAAAACTGATATGATGTGTTAAAAAAAAAAAAAGAATGTAAAAATAGGAACATTTTCTAGATTAGTATAATAATTTTAAATGAAATATTTTAATTTAACAAAATAGAAAAAGTAATTTAAATAAGGCGTAACTTGAGTAATTTTTTCAAAATCAAAAAGAATTTTCATGTTTCACGAAAAAATTACGTTATGTAAAAGTTCTTGATGTATAGAAATTGGATGCAGAGGATAATTAATTTTTTTGGGAAGGTATTTTCGTTTTCAAATAATGGTAAATTACAACAAGGGAAAATTTCCAATTAATGATCTATTAATAAAGCACAGTGGACATTCTTATAATTGGTAATAATTTTCGTTGATCATATTTTGATTTTATCACGCAAAAAAGCAAAGTTGATTGGCCCAAATAAATTACACGAAATTTTAATGAAGCTTCAACTAAATAAATTCTTGCGCAACATTTAACCAATTATAAAAAAGTGTGCAAGTTTTATCAAGTATATATTGGAAGCAAATTTTTGTTTATCTTATTTGAGGCATGGACAATAGAAACAAGGCCAACATCTATCAATCATAAATAATGTTTTTTATTAGTGTGTACTTATCTAATATGCAAAAAAATAATACATTTACGACTATCTTTTATGTCTCAAGTCAATCATACAGCATCCATGTATAAATAACGTTTTTCTTAGTATGTACTTTCTGATATGTAATAAATAAAAAAATAATAATATATATGTATACATTTATGACTACCTTTTATATCTCGAGTCAATCATGTATACATAGCATTTTTTATTAGTGTACTTGTTATTATTCCAATATGTAATAAATAATATGTACCTTTATGTCAAAAGAAATAAATGAAAAAGAATAAGAAGTGTAATTGAATCATTAATTTTTGTGCATCTTGGTAAAAAACATGTATACTTTTTGGAATTTTTACCTCTTATTTAGATCTTGCAATCTGCTGGATTAACTGGGTTATTTTTAACCAAGCAAAGCTTTCAAAGGAAGGTATGTTCTTGCAAAACATTCTTTGTTGCTACAATGTATTTTAGTCATGTTGCTATGCTATTATTATTATGTTATGCACCTTAAAAATTTTTTTGTTTCTCATCTAGTTTTTGATAGGACCAAACAACTTATCAATATAAAAAAATAATATTAGTTTTTGTACCGATATTCCTCTTTTAAAATAATTGAAAATTTCTGTTTCACAATATAAAAAAAATCGACGTTCAATTTTGTCATTTTGTGATAAATAGGATGTCCATTATTATTATGCTGTGTTAAACGCGAAAGAGGTGTAACACAAATTTTATAGCCAAAATTACATAATTTTGATGACCAATAAAATCAAACTTCCATCATGCTCTTTTTGTCCAGAATGGCGTGCCATAAGAATCAATTATTTATAATATGTATAAATATTGTTTACAAACCAACTTTCGTTACTCACAGCTAAATTCTATTATTGTTGTTATCTATAGAATTTTCCATTGATGATTTTCATTCATAATTCATCTAGTCGATCAAAATCTAGTGATGGTGGATGAATTAAAACCTTAATAATTGTAATTGTTAAAATATCCGTCAGATTGCTGCGGAAACACTAACTTATATATTAGTATATATTAATAATATATCTATCTGCGTGCATAAAAAAATATATATATATATAGGGATACGGACATTTTCATAGCAATAAAATGCGATATTTTGAATTTTGTATGACAAAATTGTATTTTTTTTTATTTTCATTTTAAACGTTTTCTCAATCCTATGTATTTTATGAATGAAATCATTAACAATTGGAGGAGTTTTTTATTATTGATTAATTATATAAATTGAGCGACTGAGTAAAACTAAAACTAAACTGAAAACAAATCGAAATATTAAAGGCCTAACCAATTAATTGAACACAAATAAGTCTATTATCAAGCTTTAATTTTTTAAGAAAAAATTAAAGCAGAAACATCGTGATAATATTAATAATGATGATGATAATGGGAATAAAAAATTTGTTTTCAAGTTTTAGATACTCGAGTCCTTTGACACAAGTTGTGCTTGTTGGTAAATAATAATTATAAGAATAAATTTATTTGAATAGATTTTATTAATATACTAATATTTAAAGTTTAAATTTAAATTTTAGGATTTATTTTCTTTTTAGTACCTGGAATGTTTAATGCTTTAGCTGGTAATTATGATTTTTTCAGGAAAAAAAACCATTTTAAAAAATTATTTAATAACATCACATCAACATAAAATCAACTAGGAATGGGAGGTGGAGGACAATTAGATCCTACTGCAGCGTCAAATGGAAATGTTGCATTGTATACATGTTTTTCAATTGGTGGATTCTTCTCCGGGGCCGTTGTTAATAAATTAGGACCATCTCATTCAATGGCATTAGGGGCGATGACCTATGGATTATATTCAGCTTCTTTACTATACTACAACCATAAAGAATCCGAATCTTTTGTCGTAGCTGCTGGTGCTATACTTGGTTTCGGTAATTAATTAAATAATCAATTAATGATTTTGGGAAAAATAAAAATCTTATATTTTTAATAAAATGATTTAATTCGTGAATTATATTTATGGGTTACCGTAGGCGCAGCACTTATTTGGACAGGCCAAGGCGCAATAATGTTATCATATCCAAAAGAATCTAATAAAGGAAAATACATTGGTTTATTTTGGATGATATTTAATTTAGGAGGTGTAGTAGGTTCTATAATTCAATTGGCATTAAATTGGTCAGCCGAATCAAAATCTGTTAATGATGGCACGTATATAGGTTTTATAGTATTGATGACATCCGGAGGCATTTTGTCATTGTGTTTATTACCTCCATCAAAAGTTTACCATAATGATGGTTCATATGTCGTTTTACAAAAATATCCAAAATGGAGTAATGAATTCTTGAACGTTTTGAAATTATTTTTGGATCCTAATATGTTGTTATTAACTCCAATGTTTCTTGCCAATAATTGGTTTTATGCTTATGAGGTAACTACATAATTATAACAACAATGTCAGTGATGATGATGTTTATAATGATTATATTTAAAGTACAATTTGGTAATCAAAAAAATTTTGCTTGTTTTGTAGTTTAATGTTGTTAATGCATTCTATTTCAATATACGGACAAGAGCCTTAAACAATCTATTTTATTGGCTTGCACAAATTATTGGTGCAATTATTATTGGAAAATTTTTAGATTTTGATAAATTAACAAGAAAAAAGCGTGCCATTTTTGGTCTGGTTCTATTGTCGATAGTAATTTTTGTTACTTGGTTAGGTGGTCTGTTTAATCAATTGGGATATGATCGACAAGGTAAATTACCTAGAGATAATAGTGGTGTTGACGAGACTATAGGAATTTCTGCAGATTTATTCGATAATGGTTATGCTCAAAAATTAATACTTTATATTGCATATGGTTTATGTGATGCTATGTTCCAGGTGAATTATATTATTTGTAAGAGTATGTGTATAGTAGTAGGTATTTTTTTTAATTTAAATTTAATATGTTTTTTAGTGCTATGCATATTGGATTCTCGGAGCTCTCACAAATGATGCATCAGTAATTGCAAGATATGCAGGGTAATTTAATATAAACAAAAAAAATATAAATATTGAAATATATATAATAGATAACGTAAATTTTTTTTAATAATCAAACCATTATATAGATGTTATAAAGCAATACAATCAGCAGGTGGAGCAATATCATGGAGGATTGATGCAGTCAAGACAAGTTTTCTTGTTGAATTTTTTATTTGTTGGGCATTATTGGCTGCATCAATGCCCGGCGCATTCTTTGTTTCATTGAGAATTAAAGATACAAATTATACAGAGGGAAATCCTAATAACAATGAAAGAGGTGATGTCGAAAAGAATAATGTGAATGCTACTGTGGAATTGTGACAATGATTTTGGTGTTTTTTTTCCACATTCTGTATCCTATATTGCTATATTAAGATCATAATAAATTATATACAAAACTTATTTAATCACCTTTGCTGATCAATTGATTTCCATATCAATTGCTTTTCAAGATTTTTGTTTCTTCTATCATTTTTTAACCATATTTTTAATCCCTGTCACTGCATTTAAATAATGATAAAAGATTGTCAACAAAATACGGATTATGTAAATGCAAAGATTTTTTAGTTGGCTTGTGGTTGTTCTATTCCTCAAGTTATTCTCTATTTATTATCTTTAACATCTTTATATTTTTGAAAATAATACGAATTCCTTTTACGACCTTTACAATACATAAAAGTAATTCATGACTAGTTCCAGGTCAATTTGAAAATTTTTAGTGATGAGAACCTAAAAAATTTTATTTGTGTCGCCTAATGGAACAATTTTTTTTTTATTATGATTATTATTACATCAAATGGCAAGGAATATGTGCATCCATTGAAAAATAAGCATACTGGAGATTTTAAGTTCTGAGCTGTCCCGAGTTCTGAATAAGCAGAACCAAAAAACTTTTTGCGATAATCCCCTGATCATGCTGAATTATCGCTGATCAATATACACGCAATTCCAATGCGTTGTATCGCCACATTAATATCCTTACAAACGATTCAAGATCGTAAAAATGTAGTCAAAAATTTTACGAGATTAGTGTTCCTAACCGAAAATCAATTTATTCAAGGATATTTGAATATATTAATATATAATTTATTTCGTAATTATTTCAGATACTCGTAATTATTTCGGATATAATCATTTCAAACATTTGTTACGATAATATTGTAACAATTCATGAATGATTATCGATTGATAAAAAATAGCATTAACTTATTTATAACTTATAACAAACATTTTTCAAAGATAATAAAGATAACATATATTTTCACAACAATTAAAATATTTGTTCAGAAACATTTTCATTTAAAAAGTAATTCTTTCAAAACCCAAATGGAAAAATTTTCCTAATACTTCAATTGTATAAATCATTTTTAAAATGACATAATATACTTACACCTGATAAAATTTGTTGGTAATTTCTTTGATTTGTATGATGATATAATTTATTAATAATTTTTTGATACAGCTTGAAATGAACAATCAAATTGATGATGTCCAAAAAGAAACTTTATCAACGAGCATTCAAATAATTACAAATATCCGAAGTAATTACGAATATCCGAAGTAATATTCGAAATTCGTAATTTTGGCTTTACGAATATTAATATTCGAATATGGAGTTATAATTACGGTTAGGAACCCTATACGAGATCACCACTTATGATAACAAAAAATAAAAAAAGGAAACGTTTTTTACGTTTATTAATATGATGTTCTATAATAATTGTTAGATTGTAATTGTCTACAAATTAGGAAATGTAAAAACTGGATGAACTCATTTGAAAATGTTATATCATATTTGAAGAAGCATACGGTTGGGTTTTATAAGCATGAAATTTGGTAAAAAATCATCTTTTATTGATTATAATAGTTTAAATACAAAATAATGAGCAAAAAATAATAAATAAAATATATGAAAATAAATTTATGATTTATTGCAAAGTGTGAATGTTGTTAAATAATGGTTTGTTATAATAAAAGGCATTGTATTGATGAAGAAAGTTATTCGGATACATTTCCAAATATGATTGATTGTCCTTATTTGATAAATTTTTGAAACTATTAAGTTTGGTTGTAGTAGTAAATTTGAATTAACACTGTTGAAAAGTTTGTTTTGCTGTTGATATTGCGGTATTTTATAAAGTAAATTTGCAAGAGAAACAAAATCAAAACTTTTCAAAAAGTTAGGATCGATCTTGGACATATCAATATTTGGATAATTAGAATTAGTAGGCTCGGGAGGAATAGGTTTATTGTTATAATCACGTGATAATCACTGTTCAGTGGCATTAAAGCCTTTATTTGGAATTTTATAGGATTTGGTCAGTTCATTGACCGTTTTTCTTTAATTTTATCATGACGATGAGGTTCACCATTATTTTTCTTTTCATTAATTTCTTTTGATACGAATAATAATGATCAAGGTCGATGTAATAATCAAGTATTCTCTATCGTAATCAATTTGAGGCTTTTGGGCTTTTTCTTGTTTATAATTGGTACCAATTTGGATTGAAGAATTATGATTATGATTATGATTATGATGTCTCTTATTACGGAATACTTCTAATACTATGTAAAATCACAACAACAGCAACAACAATAAATAACAACAATGTTAGTCATAATATTGAAGGTTAAATAAATTTTATTTACCTAGTCTTGATCCATTGAAAATTCTACCATTTTCTTTTTAAATTGCATTCTTTACACTTTCAACATTTTTGTATTGAATTAACGCATGATTATACACATTTCCATTAACAAATATTTGTAATATTGACTAAAAATATCATAAAACAAAAATTTTCCCATTTATTATTTGTAAAAAACAATTTTTCAAGAACAAACATGTACCAACAGGTAAATCTTGAATATCTGGATTATTTAATTTAAGGGATTTAATTAACGAGATTTTATGATTATTGGTAGTTATATTAGTTGTTGATGGTTCATTTTTTACAACAACATTTTGTAATGATGAAACTTGAGCATTATAGAATCTATTCTTGGATAAAGAATATTCATTATATATGGTAAGACAGTAGTAGTAGTCTTGGATGGATTATTTTTCGGTTGTGAAACAAGATGCCTTATGTCTTGTTTTCAATTTTGATTCATAATAGAAGTATTAATTGATGAAGTTATGTTATCAATAGATTGAATAGGCTTTACCTTTTTTTTTTTTAATTCGAAAAAAATATTTATTAATATATAAAAAAAAAATTTTTTTACAGACAAAAATTGGAATTGGTCATCTATTTATTGAAAAATAAATTTGTCACACGCTAACCACGTGATCATTTGATTAACAACAAACAATTGCTTGCTTATTATTCATTAATCGCAATTTTCAACTTTTTTGACTAGAACATCAAATGGTTTTAACTCGTTTTCACAAGGAGAAACCCAATATTCATCAAGTCGATCATTCCTGATATCAAATCTCTTGATTTTAACCAGACTTTTCTTTAACCAAATGTTGAAAAATCACTTTATATTTTTCACCTTTAAAATAAAATATTTTGCTGTATAATTTGCCAGCTTTAAATCTGGCGTTGTAAAAATGCCATCAGAAAATTTAATTAAATTATTAAGATTTTATAGATGAGGAAAGATGATGTTCTTGGTGTTTTAATTGTCTAAGAAGAATATTTCCTTGATTTGCAATTGAATTGTGTTTGAACCTTGATGCTCCATGATAAGAAATCTTCCAGTCTTTAGAAATTATTTGTTTATTGTCTATTGCAAATTTTATCCAATTACAATGTGATGAAAGAAGATGAAAAGCATTATCATATAATTTGTTTATAAAATTTGGATTAATAAATCTCTTGAATATGATATTTTTCTTCTTATCTTTCTTATCCTTAAAAGAAGGTGATGATGAAAATGGCAAAAGGTCTAAATGCAATACACTATTTTTCTTGATTCCATAATATTGTAAATCTTTATCTCCACCAGCAACTTTTCTTCCATTAAATACAATTTTTTGTATAATTGGATCGGCTCTTAAAATATTTTTAATCCTTAAATTTAATTCTTTGATAGTTGTGTTTCTATATAAGTCTTTTAAATGTAAAGTTTTTTCCATAAAATTTTTTTATTTTTATATTAAATGGATCATCATTGTTATTGTTGTTATTATGATTACAATATAGTTGATTTTTGTCTAAAGATAATTTGTCACCTATTAGATTTAATTTATAAATTTCATCAAAATTTAACTTCTTGCCAAATATTTTTTACATCATCATAATCATCATCATCGTCATCGTCATCATCGTCATCATCATCAATTTCATAGTTGTAAATTGGATATGTTATAATGGATCATAATGCTGAAACCAACAAATTTGAATTATCATCTTTTACCATTGGTGATGATCCAAAAAAATAATTATCAGCTTCTTCGCTACTATTAGAGAATAGACAATATTCTTTATAGAGTTGAAAATACTCTTTATTATTATATTGTGACTGTCCATCAATCTTGAAAAATATATAAAGCCCTAAAAATGATAAAATTAATCACAAAGGTAAAACAATAATATTTTTATTCGTTTTTTTTTTTCAAGAGGAAAAGAGAGTGAAAAATTTTTATTTTTATTTTTAATAATTTTTCCAATTTTAGCCAATTATTTGAAAATCACACCATAGATGTATATGAAGTGTTGTTTTGATTTATAGAAGTATTTGTTACAACTGTATAAAAATTGGGAATCGGAAAAGTGAATAATATATATTTATTTAAATTAATTAATATTTTTATTATATAAAATTTATCTATCTTTGATTGCATGTGAAACTGATATTGGAACTATGTAAGTCACAATAAAAAATAAAAATGTTCAATTAGCAAATATCAGATAAAATATGAAATAAAAACGATAAAAATTTTACTTACTAACAATAATGACGACTACTATCAAAAATGCAATTAAACCAAATGTAAACCATCTGCGTTTTGTAACATCTTTATACCAAGGTCCATGTGGTTTCCAAGGTTCAGTATTTTCTTCCACACTACGAGTTTCATATTGTTGTAAACTTAAATCATTACTATTATTATTATAAATATTACTGCTATTAACATTAAATTGATTACTACTGCTGTTAGATTCAAGATCACGATCTGTGTCTAAAGAAAATAAATAAAATTTTTTTAGCTAAAATCAATTTTTTCTTTCAAAATTTTTATCATCTCCATCCATAATAAAATAATAATAACCCTGAACATTTTTACTATTTCCAATATCACCATTTATTTGAAACTGTATAGTTTTTTCTTCATTAGATATTTTATTATCTTTTGATGAAGAATCAATTGTAGTTGTGTTGAATATGTCTTGTTTTACTTCACTCATTATGAAATTTTAAATTTTAAAAGGGTATTTTTTAGAAAATATTTTAAGAGAAAATACTTTTTAGAAAAATAACTATTTTTTTCATATTAATATAGGAAAAAAAAAAAAATAACGCCATTTAAATAATTTTGATCTAGGAAGTTACACGGGCGGTTTCTCAATTTTCTCGCACCTAATACGGAAAACCTCTTTATTGGGAAGTTATCATGTGTAATTCAGCATAGTAAAAGTTCGATTTCATTGGCTAAATTTTGCGATGATCTCTTCTAGATTTCACGAAAAAATTGGATTTTATTGGCTCGAAGGTCATCATGCAATTTGAAGACAAAATAATTTTATATATTGGAGTGAAAGAAATTTGGCTTCGAATGGGATCAAATGAATTTAAAGTTGATTCAAGTGTATACATACAGTCAAACCTTGTCACAGTGGATGAATGGAAAACATAAAAAAATTTTATTTGTTGCCACAATGGATTTTTATATGTGAAGCAAAAATTTTAAAATCCATTATAACAAGAATTTGATTATAGTCTGCTGTAGTGAGGACAAGGTTTTTAGTAGTTATCATAAAATCATCATATCTATTGTATACTTAATATTAGCAATAATAAAACTTTACACTTGTTACAAAATGTTTGATAATGATGATAATAATTGAAATGATGAAAATGGTGATAATGATAATGATGAATATGAAATAAACAAAAGCATCATTGGACTTTAGGAATGTATTAGAAATTAAAATTTGGTATTTTATAATAATAATAATAATAAAACTTTGTAAAATATTAAAGTTATCCTGATCCCTTGGTAATTAACTGCTCTTCTTTCTTTATTTTATAACGAATTGTAAAATTTATTAAAAAATTATTATTATTATGTAAAAAATTTTTGTGTCAATTGAAAACGTGACTTTACATATATGAATTCATTTTTAAAGTTATTAAGTTACACAATATAATTTCAAGATCGTCACTATGTGACAAACGGGATAAAAAGAAATTCCACATGCTGTGTAACTACCATCGACTAATTTGATCCCTGAAATCTCTTGTGACATAATGTTCACTGAGTTATATCACATTATATAAAAATTTCCTCTAATACAAGTGTGAAATGTACATTTTTACTATTTAAAGATACCATTCCAATTAGTATATTCAGTTGTTACATGCCCATGTAAGCAACAAACATCACATACTTTGTCTCAAATTTATATAATTTACAGCAACTTCAATCTGATTCAAGTAGCAAATAATCTTGGGTACCTGCAGTAATATCATGCTAATTTGCTGTTTTTCCCATATAATAATTTTATTGTAAAATCAATTCTATCTTTATTTAATTTCCTCAATGGCAAATTACCATATATTTGTCATACTTGGCAGTACAATTATATCCAGCATCATTACAAGCAGCTTTCAACTTCAAGGCTCTATTATTAATAATTCTGGTGCAACATAAGCTGGTGTTCCAGAAAAGTGGTATGGCTTCATATACGTTTATCTATGTTTTCATTATTTTATTTGCCTTGCAGATTTAATCACAGATTTAATAATGGAAATATAATTTCTATTTTCAATTGAATCAAAGCCAGAATATTGAGCTGACCAAGGAAGTGTTATTATGATTGATAACTTGAGATTTACATACATCATCATCCTGAAAGATGCAATTACTTGACAGATTGAATCAAAATAGTATTAATTTTTCTCAAGTATTATTATAATATATGTTCCAGAATCAATACTTTCATTGACTGAAATAAGAGGACCTATTCATCCTTACAAAAAACATTACTCATTTGATTTTTGGACAGTTAGTCTTGAATGCACTTTCTTTCTTGTATTTTTCATCAAGTCTTTGCCAAACCCAATTTTTTGAATCATTCTTAAACAATTCATGTATTGAGTCATCACTACAAATCACATAATTCCATTCATTATCCTATTCCATCTTCATATTGGCTCATTACTGAGGAGAAGATGAAAATTTTTATATAATTTCCATCTTGTATGTAAAAAATACCCATCTATTTTGTAAATAGTTTTCCACCTGGAATTGGTAAAACAACTTTTGTAAAAAGCCTTAGCTGAAGCAATGAGGCACCTCTTGAAGTTAATTTCTTGTGCCAATATAAAGTTCCATCTACTCCAATAAGCTAAGTCTGGTTGGTAACTTGACAATTAAAGCACAAATCCTGTTATTTTAGAAAAGTTCATCAGCAATGAACAAATACAAACCAACTTTAATTAGGAAATTTAAGAAAAGCTTGTTGACACTTACTTCAATACTTGGTTCACATCAGTTTTTTTTCCAGCAGCAAACAAAAAACTTGCCATTATTAAATTAAAAAAAAAAAGATTGAAAATTATCTCTGATATCACCCTTAAGATGAATGATTCAAGAAGAACAAGGAGTAGTTTTTGGAATAATTCGATTTGCTAATTAATAACTTGGACATTTAGAACTTTTTTTAAAAAAAAATTATATTCAAGAAACAATAATCCTAGATTTCATACCAATTGTGGATTTTGAACCCTCGAAAAAGTTTGTTACTTGTGCAATCTATCATATACCCCAAAAAATCATGCGATCACATGACTATTTCACGCATCAATATTTTATTAAAACAATATGATAAAATACATTTTTAAATTAAATTAATAAATTATTATTTACTTCTATTTAATTTCTAAAGAAATATTTGATATAATAATTAATGATAACATTACTTTAGATAAATAATTAAATAAATTTTTTATATGTATATATAGATGTGTATGCTACCTACCACTAATTAGATTAATACTATTATTACTCTACCAGTACTAAATAGAGAGAAAGCACAAAGTGCCCAAATGCAAATTTAGTAAATTTCAAGAGTTCCAACAATTTCATTTTTTTTTGATATTAATTAGCTAAAATAGTTAAGTGCATATGATTGGATTGATGGAATTAATGGTTGAAATAGGCGATATTCAAAAAAACAAATAAAAACAACAAGAATGATGATGATACACCAATATTATGGTTAGAAGGGATTAGAAGGAATTTTTTAATTATTTGATTGAAAATAATTAACCGCTTCATTATTATCTGGAGTGAATTGGATGCCACCAGGTTGTTGCTGTTGCTGTTGCTGTTGCTGTTGTTGTTGTTGTTGTTGTTGTTGTTGTGTAGCATAATAAGCCGAAACATTTTGATCAGTAGTAAAAACCTCTTCTGTGGACTTTAGTTTTAAAAAAAATTTGCTTAATAAATTTTTTATTTTTATTTTTTCTCAAAAAGCATAATTAATTAACGCCTACGGTTTCTTCCTTAGGTCTTCTATTTACAGTTTTTGGTACTTCTTCTCTCGGAACTATATCTATCAAAAAATCAAATTGGTCAGATCTACTAAGGGCTGATGCAACATCACTTCGCTGCAGTGTACGACGTTTATTTTCTTCTGCATGAATCCAAGCTCTCATGGTAATTTCTGATATAAAAATTTCACATGCTTTGGAAAATATGATTGGCGCCTAAATAAATAAATATGTGTGAATATGTGCGTGCGTGCGTGCGTGCGTGCGTGCGAAAAATGTATTATTATCTTTCTCTCTTGATAAAATTTCACAAATACAATAATCATAAATAAACAAATTCTACCTCTGCACTAATCATCTAAATAAATAAATAATTAATTATTATAAGAAGCAAAAGATCAAAATCGTTAATAATAACGATAATGGTGATGCTAATGACAATATGATGCGGAAAATAATTCGTTGAAAAATACCTTGACTTCTTGATCACTTTTCATTACTTTTTTGATTCTAGCTAAAGGCAATGGGTGATTTTTGAAATCACTTTCAAACTCTTCTGCAATAGAAAGTTGTTTAGTCCAAAACTTTTTTTAAAAAATAAAAATAAAAACCAATTATTACAAAATTATAAAATATTTTATTAGAATCTTTTTCATTTTTTTTAAAGTTCAAATACTTTTTCCATAAAATGCTGATTTTGTTGCTGCTGTTGTATCTGCTGTGCTTGAATATGTGTTGAGGCTACTGTTAGAGCAGCAGTTTGTGTGGAAGTAGCAGTCGGTGAGGTATCAACAACATTAACATTTTGTTCGATAACAGTTTGGGTTTGCTCTTCCATTTTTTAATTTTTTTTTGTTAGGAAAAATTTTTTTTTAAGGTTTTTTTGAAATTATATGATCTTCATTTTATTGTAACACGACTTCCAAACATTCATTTCAAGCACAAATTAATGGTTTTCCGTGTAAATAAAAAAAGATTCTTCAAATCAAAGTTAGGATCATTTGGATTCGCTAGATTAATTAATTACGAAAATAACAATAAATATTATTATTGATTTTTTCAATTATACAATATATATATATTTACCTTCTTTACAACTTTTTTTGCAAGCGGCATATGCAACTTTTGCTTTAGAAATTAATTCTTTGTTTATCCCTTAAACGGTTTTTCGGCTATTGATAGCCGAAAATTTTTTTCTGTTATAAAAAACTTTTTCTGAAGGTATTACTTCCTAATACGAAAATGATCTTTGAGATTCGGCTGTTTGATATGTAAATAAAAATTCGGTTGTTGTCCTTGTGGTTTTCGTAAAATCTTCTTTAAAAGTTGGTCGATTGACTATTTTTACTTTGCAGATCGTTAAATTGGCCAATAAGAATGCAAGATCGTGATCAAAAAATCATTTCGCGTTACCATTAAAGAATACTCTGACCGTTTAAGAGATAATTTATCAACTGCCGTTTTTTAGAATCAGAATATATTAATGAACCAATTCCAATATTAATTGCCGTCAACCTTGCAGTCTTTAAAATAACTTTAAATCCATTTTAATTCAAATAATGATTAATTAATAACAAATTAATACAATAACCAATACACTCACATTCAAGTTTATAAAAGATTGATCAATATAATTATTTTAAACAGAGAAATTATTAATTGATGATCCATATATGAATCAGAGAATTTTGTCGCGGAAACAATAATCTTTATATCCCCAAAGTAAAAAATCTTTTTTTTTCAATACAAATAAGAAAGAAAAATGTACATCAATAATCTTTTGAGTTTTTTTGCAAAAAAAATAAATTAATGTAGTAGGACAAAAGAAGTATATTAAGTATATTACAACTTTTCATGCAAAGGCTTGGATTGACATATGACGGATTTTGAAAGTGTCATGATCATTTTCATACTATTAAAGATATAGAAACTGAAGAGGATTAAGAGCCGATTAAGAATTTAGCAAAATGAATATAAACTATTTTTTTTTTTTGTAAAAAAAACATGTACTCTACCATAAATAGGGATGGGTCGGTTTCGCTAATAAACGGTTTGAACTCGGTTTTGAAACCAACCCCTGGTTTTTTTTTGGTTTGGT